TTTAAATGTCTATCAACATCTATTACATCATTACCTGTAATACTTGGTATAACTTAATCAACTGTTTACATGAAACATAAACTATGTACTGCATCATTTTTTGAGTGTGAAAAACGAACATGGTGGTCTAGCTGCAATTGACTAATGAACTCAACCATTAAAATTACTGTAATATCCACAAAAACTCCTTCTGAAATTAATTAACACTTGCTCACTAGCGACTAGCTTCAAGAGGTATTTCCTGGAGTTCTAGTGAGAAACAATGACCAGTGGAGTACAACCGGGTCTGTTATGAGATAGTAACTCACTGAAGATAATGGTGGATGTGTCACTCAATTTTTCAGATTAGTTGAAGTTAGACATTAACGCCGTTGGATGTCGGTCGGCTCAGTAGTCTATTGGTTAGGCGTTCGAGCACGAAACCGATAGGTCCTGCGCTCGAACCTCGAGAGGTGGGATCGTGGATGCGCATTGCTGAGGATTCCCACAATAAGATGAACCGGCCGTCCAGTGCTTCCAGGTTTTCCATGGTGATCTAGCTTCGATTGACTCACAATCTCAACCACTAAAAAAATAAACGATTATTTAAAAAAATATTTCTCTACAGACTAATTAAATATTTAAGCAAATGTAACTACTGAAATCATTATAAGTATTATTTATTGTCAGTCAAATGAAACAATAAAAGCATTTCATTTCTCTTTTATATCACTAATGTTTCATCTATATTATGTAAGAATGTTGAGACTCTAATTTATGGATGACATTTGAGTGACTGCAGATTAACCTTGAGAGTGTCCACCTAATAACCAAGATCAAATGAGAGTTAAAAACCAGTATGAAGAATTCGGATAATGATTTACAATTGATGATCAAAGTTACAAATAGGATTTAAGGTTTTCATCATGAGTTGATGCTAAGTTTGAAGCTGTCACGAGTTCACTCCATCTGCGAACGAGAACAAGACTCGGTAACCAAAGGCCAGTAAGCTAGTTATTGATGCGTCCCAACCCCGCTAACTAGAGGGAGAAGTCCAAGCTTGGAATGGGAAGTATATTCTGCAAAATTGCCAGAAGCACGAGTGATAACAACTAACACAATTCAAAACGTATATATACAGCACAAAACCGTCCTTGGGGAGATTTACAAAATAGCATACTAAAAGATACAACGAACCAATGGCATTTAAGATTCTACCGAGTGGGAAATACGACATGAAGGTGAAAAGAGTGCTTTTAGTGCGAAAACAATAAAATTCCAATTTTCTAAATAAAATTACGAAATTAGGTCCTTTCCCATGTGAGTTCTGAGGATTTAACGTCCCCAACAACTGACATCAGCTATAATACCAAAACTCTATTTATCCTTATAGATGAGTGAATTTCATGTCAAAATCCGAGACCTATTCTCTTATACTTGATTGGTTCATTCATAAATTATAGTCTCACCATAAGAAATATATATGTCTAATTAATAAATTTATATTCTCTTACAATCATCATATGTAACTATTATAATGTATTTTTAAATAATAAATAAACAATAATGGCACCACATGTTTATTATTTATATAAATGAAGTGTTTTCATTCATAATATGATGTATATAAGTAGTATATAAATATATATTTCATCAATTGTCATCTGATTTCAATTATTCTATTGTTTATTTTCTATATATCTATTATGACTAAATGAATAAATAGATAAGATTTAATATTATTTCATTGAAATGCAGAAGAAATTGACTATAATGAACATCTGCTTGCGTGTTGTCAAGTTTAAGAGTGAGATAAGTAGTAGTATAATAGTGATGTTAATAATGACCTATAAACATGATATTGTAAACCTAAGATATTATTATTATCATCATCATCATTTAAATAGAGATTGTATGGAACTGGTTAATTTGAAGATAATTTTTATTTGTGAACTCATATTGATTGATTAAAAATATAATTGGATGAATAGAGCATTAGATAAGTGGGATCGTTCATAGGACAAATTCACATCGAAATGAAGCTCCAGGAGATACGGAATTAAATCCATTAGGGTGCATAGGTTTTGTCAAGATTACAGGTATATCATGCTGATGAGTGCTATATATATAGAATGAAACCTTGGTCCTGGGTTTTTTGTTGACTAGTTTTAACCATTACCTTGGATCTCAAGATATCAGATTCTTGGAGGTTGTTGACCGAAACTTTTGGGTCTAGGCTTTGTTTACTAGTTGAAACTCATAAGCTAGGTGTTTCTGTGATCTTGAGGAAACTTATGCTTTCTGAGTGATCCGAACCTGCTTCACCCAGTTTTAAAGTTTAAGATGTCAATACAGTATTTGAAGTATAAGTGACATCCTACAGTGATGAAATATTTACAATTAATGGACTACTGAATACAAACCATTTTCATGTTTATCTATTCCTTTAATAATAATAATAATAATCGAGTTCTACCGATCATGTTGTAGTAGGGCCACTAATCTAAGAGACTCCAATGTAGTGAACGTTCTAGTGTCCTATTGAGAGAGATATCATTAAATCATTGTGTTAAAGACCATCGTACCAAACTTATCCCCTGATTCAAAAGATTAGAGAATGCATCAGTAGTCCAATATAATTTGTAGGTAATTGATTAACATCAATAAACGATACTTGATTTTAAAATCAAAATTGATTAACTTGAAATCTTAATAGCATTGTCTGTTCATATTACTATTTTTCATTTGACTCGACTGATTGTATGATGGTTTGTAACATAGTTTTATGCAGTATCTTTGTTATCATCAGTTGTTTACTACTGTTGTAGTGAACATAACACGAGCGGGCACAATCGAATGTATTTAACACAAAATTACAGGACATGTTAATAAAATTTAACAATCATAAAGTAAATGCTTAATTTGCAAAATGTCCATCAATTGTCTCATAATGACTCAGACTTCATTGTTCTTGCATTTTCATACAAATTGCATTCTGTTTCCATTCTTTACTGTTCAATCCTCTTGTCTTTCTGCTGCCAGACCTCCTGTTCACGACTAACATCATCTACTACTTATGTCAAATATAAGTAGCATACACCACACTGCTACTACTATTAATGAAGTGAACGAGAAGTCAAGTGGGACAAATCAATTTATTGTTTGATTCAAAATTACATAATGTCTTCGTAAAATATGAAAACCATACATTAAATACTGCATTTGTACATTTTCATCGTTTCCTTATTCCTGTTACTATTACAATTACTGTCTGTTTACATTCCTGATCTCTTCAATTCGATCTTTTCAACCTCCTTCTGTTAGACTTTGCATTTATGATTGGTGTTACATACTACTTATGTCTGTCGACACAGATAGCATACAACACATTAATACAAGTACTAATATCATTACTCTTATTACTACTAGCGCTATATATATAGAATATTGTATTATTAGTGATAAGAAGTTATCAAGAATGAGATTATGTAATAATTCATTGCGACTATCATTTAGAATAGTAAACGATTTTAATCTGACAGTTTCAGTTATGCATTTATTCAGTATGATAGTAACTGAAGAAAGCATTATTAGAATTCAACTAATGGTCATTGCAAGGAGAGTCTGTATATGATAAATTAATAATTTTCCCTAAAATATATTCTTCGTATTCACAGTTTAGGTTTATATTCTGTTATTCTCTTCCTGTTGTCATGCCTTACACTCGTATAAGTGATAATCGGTTCGTTAATAACTTGAAATATGATCGGCAATGTATATTTAATAGGTAATAACATAAAAAAACTATCAGCTGTTTCATAATATTTAATCATTTTAACCATAATTCCATATAGGAAACATTAAAACTTCTGTGTTGTTTTACCATATCACTAACTCAGATTATATTTGTATTCTGTAACGATTGGAAAAGTTGCAGTTTATGAATGATCTTTTATACGGTCTCACTATCCTTGAAATTTCATTCATATCATATATACATATAATTTTCATTAACCTAAATTTTGGTACTTCTACTCCTTGGTGATTAAATATTTGTGAAATGTACCGTGTTTGACAAACAGTCGCCGTGTTATCAACAAAACACTTCCATTACTCAACTAATACTAAATAGATTCAGTTGAGTATTTTACAGAGGGTTTATCTGTTTGTAAGCATTCGACATTCTGATGGTATAAGCATATTTGATAAATAAATGTTTAATATAATATAATAATAAAGAACAAATATGGTTTTCATCACATTGAACAAATATGTTTATTCTCTTGAAGTCATGAACCGATCAATGTTAGACGATCATTGAAAACCAGGAAGCATGGTACAGTTATTTTGTCCTGGTATGGAACTCCTCAGCAGTGCGCATTTGTTAATCCACCGTGAATATAACCAAGGGCCTTCACATCACTAGACTTTAGACCTCTGATCCAGGATCTGGTAGATTAAATTTCTAAGTCAATGTCCAACAGTTCACCACCATTTAGTGAATAACGGCCTCACATCCAACATGACTGAACTCCAGCAATAACAGTTTCACATTAGAAATCCTGGAATTTTAGCAAAAAATACTAGCTGAGGAACCTGAAGTACAAAAACATAGTCTCCAGTGTAGTTATGGTTCATTTTACTGTGAGATGTCTCAAAATAATACGAGGCAAACGTATGATGTTCACTGATATTCATCAGTTGTTCAACAACGTTCAGTTTAGTATTTTAAGCTCAATCTCAGCTTATTTATGATTATTATTTTCTTCTTTTGAATGAAATATTCTCGTACATGGTCTCAATGTGTGCACGTTATGACCTTAATTTAATGAATTAATTTATTCAAAGGTGTGACTAATATTCTTTTCATATTAATAAATTTTAGGGGCGTTCACATGTTCTATTTTGATTATTCCACTGATAGTAATAATAGAGATTCATCATAATGAAAGTATATTGTATATGTCATTCAAATAATTAAAATGAAGAAAACGCATTTATGTTTACCAGAATTATAAATGATGACAGAACGGATGATGATGATGATGATGATGATGATGATGATGATGATGATGATGATGATGATGATGATGATGATGATGATGATGATGATGATGATGATGATGATGATGATGATGATGATGATGATGATGATGATGATGATGATGATGATGATGATGATGATGATGATGATGATGATGATGATGATGATGATGATGATGATGATGATGATGATGATGATGATGATGATGATGATGATGATGATGATGATGATGATGATGATGATGATGATGATGATGATGATGATGATGATGATGATGATGATGATGATGATGATGATGATGATGATGATGATGATGATGATGATGATGATGATGATGATGATGATGATGATGATGATGATGATGATGATGATGATGATGATGATGATGATGATGATGATGATGATGATGATGATGATGATGATGATGATGATGATGATGATGATGATGATGATGATGATGATGATGATGATGATGATGATGATGATGATGATGATGATGATGATGATGATGATGATGATGATGATGATGATGATGATGATGATGATGATGATGATGATGATGATGATGATGATGATGATGATGATGATGATGATGATGATGATGATGATGATGATGATGATGATGATGATGATGATGATGATGATGATGATGATGATGATGATGATGATGATGATGATGATGATGATGATGATGATGATGATTACTGTAGTGGACGAGAACGCAAGTGGGGACAATCGAATGTATTTGAATACAATATTACAGAATATATTGCTAAAAATCTGACAACCATATAGTAAATTCTTCAATTGCCAAATGTCGATCAATTGTCTCAAACTTGATTGTTTCTTCATTTTTACCGCAATCGTTCGCTCTTTTATTCGATTTTCATAATCTTCTGCTTCCAGGTGTTTCACTTTCGATTGAGGATACATATTATTGATGTCTATCGATCTCAGCAGCACACACCACAATACCATTCGGAATCATTCGATAACGGGTTTGAACTGGACAATTTAATTATCAAATGAATTTTTCTAGATCGTATTCATGAGCCAATCTAACTTAGACCATCAATGGAAACCTGGAAGCACTGGAAGGCTATTTCGTTCTAGTATGAATCTTGCATTCACGAACCTGTTGAGAAGATCCATACAAGGACCAAAACGGCTGTCCAGTTCTTCCAGGTTTTCAATAGTGGTCTAGCTTATATTATTTTTCACATATGTGATTTCATCCCAATTATTAATCAAAATGGGTTTATAATCAATATATAAATGAATGTATTTTTAAGTAGAGTTATTGTGTTTTGGGGTTTTATATATCTTCACTTGTACCAGTCTTCCGCGTTCTTACTTCATGTCGTGGGAATTGCAGTGGTTCTTTGTCATTCCAAGTATACGAATAAGCGAAGTGGACATAACGATATAGATATCCATATAAGTTACTAATGGAAAAAAACACCGAAAGCAGAAATAAATAGATTGATAGTCCATTATCCATTACTTCAGATGCTTCATAGATAATATGATTAAATATGTTAGTTATGAATATTTCTATAGTCATGTCAACACTCTACCAAATAAAACTTTAAATATGCAAAATACTCCATTTTAATTGTTCTATAAAGCATGGAAATAGGTACGAGAAATATATGTTCATTGAAAGAAGTTACAAAGTATTGATATAATTCATATACATACCTTTCAATCATCCGTTTACATCTTCCGGTATCATTTACAAATATTGTTGCATTACTATAATGAAACTTTTTTACACTATCTGACAAGTTTAAAGCCACATTTTGCAACATACTACTTACAGACAATTTTATGAGTAGCTTCCAACTACACTTCTATATTCAATGAATTTGAGTAAAGTATACATTACTCAATTATAATTATTTAATTTTTTTATTATTTTTATTTAACAATCATGATTATCTTATGAATAATTAAGAAATTTCTTTTTCCGTATCATTGTAATTACCTTTTTCTCTTTCTATTAATTAAAAAGGAAACGTGTTCTATTCAGTTACTGTTCTGAGTACAAAATAATAAAAAAACAAAAAAAAAGAGAGAAAAATAACTGAAAGAAATTCATACCATAATCATTGTAAACATGTTTACTTTTAATGTTTTCCTGTTTTACACAAGAAATGAAAATGATTCATTTCAACTAATTAACTAGATTCTCTAAGAAACTCGACTCAAGTAAATATACATATATTTGTAACTGTGTATGTATCTATGTATGTATACATACATTTTACACTACTGAACTTAACAAACAATCATTCATTTGTTTATGAAGACTCACTATATATGCTTATTCATTTCCCTTCTATTCTTCCTTTCTCATTCCATTCCCCTCTCTCTCTCTCTCTCTCTCTATATATATATATATATATATATATATATATATATATATATTGCATATTTTAACACAATATAGGTGACATGTTAACTTAGTCAACAATACACCGTTACCATATGATTCAGTGGAATGAAATTATGTACACATACTATATAGTCCACTTCTAATCTTAGAACAGTCCTTCCCTTTTTTTAAAGTAAAAATAGAAATTATTATCTCATTAAGAACAAGGAAAAATCGGAGAGAAAGCAGAAGTGTTTCGTTTATTTATAATATTGTGTGTACAAGTGATTTCTTTCCGTTTATTTTTTTCAATTTCAATAAAGTAGTGTGTTAGTGAACAAAAGAAAACAGGAGTACTGACAATTTCCCCAAGGATTTATGAAGAATTTTTTAGAGGATATTTTTTAAATAAAATAATAAATAGGGTATGCCCTGAGGATAGTAAAGTGCATTGGCACGTATGTGTATATGTGTGTAACTGTGTACACGTGTATATATATACTGACTATCGAATAAAGGCCATAAGTCCGGATGCATGCAAAATATAAGAGAAAAACATTATAACAAACTGGAACCTGTTAGGAACTCTTACAGAATGTATATAATATGAAAAATATACAAAATTAGAACTCAGCAGGAAGAGATATTGACTGGTACACTTGTACACAGTTACTCATAAATAGTCATGTAATGATTGAGAGGAATGAGTCAATGAATTGTAGATTGTCTATAAGTATGCTGTGTGTGTGTGTGTGTGTATATTAATTTTGAACTAAATATTGTTACGAATGGAAAACTAGAAGAAAGTGGACAATTTTAGAGAAAACCTACAATAAAATCACGCAATTGAGAAAAACTTATTGGAAAAATTTGTAAAACTATGTGAAATAAGAGATGTCTTGAGGAATGAAACAAAAACCTCGATGATTTGAGCGATTTCTACTTACAAAACATTCACAATTAAATAAGGTAGATTGTACAGCTGTATCACATTATTATAAATATCCAAATTAATTTTGATCAATGACATTTACAAACATTTTAAAATCAATTCTTAATTAAACATTTGAAAAATAAAACAAATTTTTATATTAATGTGGAGCAGTAACAATTAGAAAGAAGACAAACTCATGGAGAATGTTGGCACTCAGTTATTTAAATAGTTGTGATCATGAGTCAATTGACGCTAGAACACCATCGAAAACCTGGAAGCACTGGCGGCCGTTTCTTCCTACTGGGGGACTGCTCAACAGTGTGAACTCACGATCTCGCCTCTCGAAATTTGGACCCAGGACCTATCGAACTCGCGCGCGAACGCTTAACCTCTAGATCACTGAGTCGGCATTCAGCGGTGTTAAGAAGTATTTCCTGGGGTTCTAGTGGGAAACATTGACCAGTGGAGTACAACCGGGTCTGTTGTGAGGTAGTAATTCACTGAAAACAATGGTGAATGTAGAAATTAACACCGTTGGATGCCAGTCGGCTCAGTGGTCTAGTGGTTAAGCGTTCGCGCGCGAAATTGATAGGTCCTGCGCTCAAACCCCGAGAGGTGGGATCGTGGATGCGCATTGATGAGGATTCCCACAATAGGATGAAATGGCCGTCCAGTGCTTTTAGGTTTTCCATTATGGTCCGGCTTCAATAGACTCATGATCTCAACTATTAACATTACTATAATATCCACAAAACCCTTTTTTGATACTCAGTTATTTATTTGAAATAATAAATGACTTCCTATTTCTTAGCATAATAACCAACTAACTCCTATAGTAGTTTTAGATTTTTCATACCACATTGAAATATTGCTATTATCATTTTTCATTATGATTATGATTAGTTCACCAGTGATTTTATAGTTATTACCAGACTTTTCATTTTCATGATACATCAATTTTGGTTAATAAATATATCTTTTATTTGGTTGTGAGAATAGTATACAATCTCACATTTATTCTCTTTTCTTATAAAACTTAAACCTGTAGAGTTGTGAGGATTGTGTAATATTAAATCAATATAATGTAAGGATGATATTAACCACAGACAGACTGATCTCATTTCAAGACTATTGAAAACCAGTGAGGAATGAAAAGTTCTTATAAGAATCCAAACATGAATGATAGAAGAAGAATATATATGAAACAAAGATTTTTTTCCAAGATATTCCGTAACACCTCAAATAGAGTATCAAGAAGACATGTAAAAATGAAAATGACAAGGGTTGAAAAGAACAATATATTTCAAGGCACAGAAACGATACTGAATGTAGGACATATCATCTGAATATCTAGAAGAGTAAATGAGTCCCACATAGGCAGTATTAAGATATAGTTACAATACTCAATTGAGAAAATTAAGTTAATACTATCCGTTTAAAATAAATAGCAAAGATGGTATAAGTATATTGAGGGCATATAGACAGTTTCATTTTAATTATCAAATGTTTTTCTACTAATAAACAACTCCAAAACTATCTATTTAATACCCTCGCTTGTAATTTAATGCAGTAGAATGTGTGCTGAAATAACTGCACTGTATGTTAACATCAAATATGGAGATAAGTTCACTTGTTAAGCATTTAAGCTCCACTACACCAAGGTATATAAATGAAACATGGGCGAGACTCTAATTTATGGACGAGCCATTATGATTTTAGAACCTCTGAACCTCTTTCTAACCTTGACAAGTTTTTGAACCATGTATAAGAAGTGTATCCACTTTATTTCCTTGGTTTTGTATAACATATTTTTACTCTATACTGACTGTTTGCTGATTGGCTAATATTTCTCAAAGTCACTTGGGATCCGTTCAAAGGTCGACCATAAATTAGAGTCTCGCCGAAACATGTTTTAAAATTGACTTTAGAACACTTTTCAAATCCTTAATTAAGCTTAGTTGTGTGAGAATCCTCACTATCGGAAAATGTAAACTAATGTTAAGAAAGTTTTATTCTAACTTTGAACCTGATGCAGTGATTACATAATCAACTTTTATTATCAAATGTAGTGTGATGACATATTTTTTCTGTTTGATCATTCTTTCATATTTTACTTACAACCTGAAAATTTATTGACCTTTCTTGGTTTTTACATAAAGTCTTCGTAGATCCCATCAATCATAGATCTTAGCTAGGTAAACAGGGAAAATCAGATAGGGATATTTCAGTAGTGTACATTCATGACTGCAGCAAGAACAGAACCTAGGGCTTATGATTTTGTGGTAAGCACAGAACGTCTATATCACTGAACCAGGATTCAATGGTGTATATGTTTAACTTTAATCCATTTGTAGTATTGTGTGACCTACATTACATATCGAAATTTGTTACTAGTGAAAATTCGATTAGCGAAGATTGTTGATTAAATATTTGATCAGACTGTTGTTGACATGCAAATATATGAACTTTGTTCAATTATGACACAAACTGGATTTATAAAAGGCTCTAATTAGTTTCAATGTGCATATGACAAAAATAACGAGTATTGTTTCAGTTCCTTCACAGGTTTGAACGAAGCGTGAACGATCATATTTGCAGACTTAAGTGAATTTATTGTGTATATCTGCTTTCTTTTCATTTTCATACGAAACAATAAGTTTAATTACTTTTAGTTACTAAAATCATGTTCAATTTAAGAAATGAATTGTTAGTATGGAATGGGTTATTTTTAATTCTGGTAAAATCGATGAAATGCAATGATTGAGATCATCAACCGATTGATGTTAGACCACCTTTGGAAACCTGGAAGCACTGGACGGCTGTTTTCAAAGGTGGTCTAACATCAATCGGTTGATGATCTCAATCAAAAACTTGATAATCTCCACAACCACCATACTAGAAATGCAATGAATTTATCGTATGCTACAAATATGATCGTTCTTGTATACTCTTCTGGTTAGCGTATTTTTAGCAAGGTTCTATGGTAGAGTTCTTTTATGTATAAATCTGAAAACTGAGGAACTGCTACAACTATCGTCAAAAAAGTAATGGTGTTTATAAACAGTTGTCTTCACAAAGTACTCCAGATCTATTGGGCATACATAATCGGTAACAACCTAATCTAACAGAGAACAAATTAGCTTTTAAATAAAGACGAAGTAAGAAAAGACTCTGCAGGTAAATTGTACACATTTTGCGAAAATCATCAAATTGCATCACAAAGAAAGCCCTAACTTAGAATCCTGAAAGGAAGAGGAAAAGTGGCAGACCGAAGAACACATTGGGCTGGGAATTAGAGGTAGAA